TTATAATTATATTAATACTAATAATGTATTATAAAATTAATTGTAGAGATGATATAATATGAGGAATAGATGAAGTTAAACAAATTCATGAAACTTATGTATCATTATGTATAAAGAGAAACCTTCTATAAAACATAATATTTAGATAGAATATACTTAACAAATTTAGTATACAAATGTGAATTATTCTAATAGAGTTTGATTAAAAGCGATTTAAAAAAAAAAGTAAAACAAAAAACTATTTTTAAATCTTTAAAATTTATTACATATAAATTTTGTACAAATATTAATTTTCTATTCTTACGTGTCATAGCAGTACTTCTCAAAGTGTGAGAAAAATATTTTCTTGGATAAAAGGGCCAGCCAAGTGGAAAAATTTGTTGAAGCTTTGTATTATAACGTACGATAAAAGATACATCCGTTTAGTTATCATATATTGTACATTCTTTTGTATTTTCCAATACTTTTTTATAACGTTGAACTAAATCGCTAATAGATTTTCTTCTGTTCGTCGTATCTTTAACATTATTGACAGACATATCTTTAGTATTGGTCGCATTATCTTTTTCAGTTTCATTATTTGATTCGTAACGATCGTTATGTAAATTGTTAGACTCTTTGAAAATACATTGAGATTTTAATTGACTGATTGTATTAAATTTATCAGGTGTCATTACTTCTCTGAGATCGAAGAAATTCTTTGTTATACTTCTCAGATTAAATTGCGATATGTTGGGCGCTTCTTCTATACTTGTTAAAGTAGTAGAATTAGCTTTTATAGAATCTGGTATTGAACTTATACTACAGTTGCCTATGCACACACAAACATACAAATAAAATATTGATTAATTATAATATTAATTAATCAGATTTAATTATAAAAATTTTTCTTACCTTTTTCACCGGTCTTTTTTGCATACGATACAAATAAACGTGAATATTTTCCTGTGCGTTTGACAGACGAAGAATTCGTTTTGGGCAGATGCGAATAAGTTTGTAAAATTTTATCGCTATTATTTAACGACAAAGTATCATCAAAGTTAGTACGTGCTACTAACAAGTTAGTTCTTAATTGGGAAACAGGTACATTGGTGATGCCATGTCTTTTGTATCTGGAAAATAATGATTTGTGTGCACCTTCTACCGGTGTAACCATTAATCTTTTTAATACATCGTTTTCCTCTTCGCAACAATTGGTATTAATTTTGATAGGTGGAGACGAACAAAATATATTATTTTCAAATGCCGAAATATTTTCTTGAAACGTTTCGTTAATTTTCTTCTGATTGAAATGTAACTTTAAATTAGTCGAAATACTTTCTATAGACGTCGTTAAACTTTGAAACGATTTTATTCCAGATGTAATATCTTCTTGGCTTGCTTCTATTTGCAAAAGGCACTTTGATAAATCTTTTAATTCATTTTTCTTTAAACATTGATACACTTGACACAATAAGAAATTCAGTAGTGCAAGAAAATTGTGTAATACCAATTTTTCGTCAATATATAAGTTATGTAGAAGATACTGAAATAAGTTTGATTAATCAGAACATAATCGTCTAGAAGATTTATTCTATTTTTTTAATTATATTTTTATACATTACTTGTATATTCGTCGACAACGGAAGAAGAGAAATCGTAGAGGAATGTACTTTTCCAAGTTGATGCGCGTCTAATATTTCTGTACCATTAATTATACTCGAAATCATATTGGTGATTTTATTGCTAAGAATTTGTACTTCCTTGAAAAACTTATTTTTTTTTCTTATATACGATAAATTTTCCTTTATATGTTGTTTCCATACTACAAATAATATTATAATTAAATTATGCTCATCGTTTCTCAGTACTACGTATATCTTAAGTAAATATACGTACATTCTATAATTTCTGTATTTTCTATATTCGTTAGGCACTTTTTAATGCTCGAATCAACCGGAGCCTTAGACGCCAAATTTAACACTGATTGTTTAACTTCGAAAATGTCTTGCTTTACGTTAGACCATGCTTCTTTTTCTTCCCTAAAAATACAAATGCAACAAATAAAACAATATTCCGATTTAAATTAACTATTGGAATAATTTTGTTTTTTAAGAAATATCAATTACGTCATATTAATTTTAAATGTTTCCTTCATTTTGGTCATATTTCTGTGGTGAGACATGATATTAGAAATAGTATCTTTATTTATTTCCTGGAGAGTTGTTTTCACCAATTCGTTTGTAGAACCCAAGCGTGGTGCATAAAAAACATTTGGGTCAACTGCGAATCAACAAAATTTATTAGAGAGTTAGTTATACAAATAAAACATTAATTTTTCTTACGAAACGTATGCTTCTAATGAATATAATTACAATTTTTTAAAAATATATATAAAAATCTGTTTTTACACTTGCAAACATTTCTTGTAAAAATTAAATATCAAGAAAAACACAAATAAATACTTACAATTCCTTTTAATGTAAGTTCTTAAGGCTACTGTAGAAAGTTTCCACATAATAATATTAAACTTCTGTCCATGAGCGCGAACCAAAAAAGATGTAAGAATAGGAGGAAAATTGATATCAGAATTTTCTTTTGCTATTACATTTAAATAATCTTTAACATTGTTACGATATTTCACTTCTGTTTTCTTGCATGTTACCGGCCACTGAATGGATTTTTTAAAATACTCTGCATCATATATTGTTAGTAAATATTGTGAAACATGCATAAATCCAATTGTATTGGGTTTGTTAAACATTCCCTAAAAACGACAAAAGATAAAATAATTTGCTAAACATTCATTATCATATTAATATAAATTAAATGACTAATAAATAAAATTAAATTATAAAATGTACCTCTTTGAAATGTAATTTAAATTCATCACTTGTTGGAATTACTTCCGTTAAAAGAAGTACATTGCGATAAAAATACGTGTTTACAGCCATTGTTTATGATTTTTTAAACAAAATGAACAAACAATAGTTTTACAATGTGTAATATATTTAATAATTAAGTACTGTGCTTAATTATTATTTATTAAACTTATCATATACACATACACCGCTATTTAATAACCTAATTTGAATAACGTTTAAACCACTTTGAAATTTCAAAACATAAGCATCGGTAATACAACTACAAGATAAGAAACCGGATAAATTTTTTTATTTTCTATCAATAAGAAAATCCAATCTTTTATATTTAAATTATTTATTTTTTAATTTTTTTATATTTTTATTAACAAATACACCTGATATACTTTTGCTAAAAATTATTTAAGACAGCGTTACCATCGCAAATCGTATCAGGCACAATTCTTACTTAATTTTCATGAATAAGGTGTCATTTGAAAGGTGACAGTTAAAATATTTCATCTTATGTTAGTTTTCAAATTTTTAAACAAAATTTTAATTCTACGATTAATACATTAGAAACATTGTTAATTTTTTAAATAATTTTGTTCATAGAAATATGATATAATCCAAGAAAAAACTACATAATTATTGATTTGACGCCATTAAAAAATATTTGTCTATACTAACACAATGAAATTCATGCTGTGTGTAATTCCAAAAAGATTTGTTTTCTTTTTGTAAATAAGTTTACAAAGATATAAAAAAAAATAAAATTTATTATACTTGCAAACATTTTAATTTATAAAGAAAAATAGTAAATATATCATGAAAATATACATAATTTATATACGACAATTCTACCAAATAGATCTGTACTTTCATTAAATATTATTTTAAATGTTTTTCCTGTAGTCGGATTTTTTAATACAAAATGTTGCCTTGCATTAATGTCATTTGGATAAAAATATTCCTGAAAAATGGTGCTTTCATTATCATCATCAATGTTAATGAGACAAACTTTCCCAGCGAAGCCGCCTTGAAATTGAATCTCAAATCCAGATATAGTATTTGTTTTTTCAAAAGTAATCTTTATCCATTGTGGCAAGCCCTGCAACATGTATATAACAATATTGTATTGAACATATATCTTTAATATGCCTTTAAATTCTACAATTTCATTATATTATATTTATTAATCTAAATCAGGAAGATGGCAAATAAGTGGCATGTGTGCCAAGTTTGGCATGAGAAGATATTTTTAATGGTGCATGTACATATACGAAACTTAACTCCACATTCGATTGAATTTCATAGCTAGACTATGAGAAAAGAAATTAAATTTTATTATAGTATAGATTAAATACAATAATAATTAATATTTATTATACATACTTATCTGTATACACTTTACATAGGTATTAGCACGGATAAAAGATCACTATAAAGTTTATTATTTTTTAACATGCAGACCAAACCCTATTTGCCATCCTTGATCTAAAGATTAAATAATTAGTTACTTACAGCATCAGAATACCAACACGTGTCAGAATATTCATCGAACATACGATGTTTTCCATAATTTCTTGAATCTTTATTCATTACCGTACTAACTCTGATTAAAATAAATGTTTTCTTTTTAACAATAATACATTAATACAGTACAATATATTTTAAAGAGATAATTAATAAAAATATATACATATGTAAATTATAATGTATATATAAAAAGCAAAAGAAATATCATTAAAGAAAAAAAATGTTTGATTAGATAAAAGAATAATTTAAAGTAAAAAACTAACCTACATTCGAATTTGCATTCCTCTAATATATTGCTCATTATTATTGTGTTTAATTGTATATTCAATATAAATATTTATGATTATTAATATTTTTATAGGCTAGAATAATCTAAAGAATAACAATATTTTATCCGTTGATTTTAGGTATAACGAATAATTATAAAATAAATAATTATAATATTAATTTGGAAAGTTTAATTATTTTATAGATATATATATACGTAAAATTGATAAATTTTCTTTTCTTTTTTAAAATTGCGTACAAGAACCACCATCGTAAGATACAAACCCAACAAATATTACATTCGCGTATACGTTCACAAAATTTGAAATTTTAACGAAATAAAGAATTTTTGAAATTATATAATTATTATTAAAACTATACAATTATTCTATTAGAAATAAACAAAGTAAAAAATTTAAAAACTAAAATTATTAATTCATACAATTAATGAAATTGTACATCACAATTTGGACTTGTTTGATATTTGCATTAAGTACATCATGCAATTGTTCGTATATATTATTAATTAAAAACAAAATTAACAATGCAAATAATAAAACAAAAGACAAAGAGAAAAATGTATTAAAAGAAACGTGGGTCTATTAATTATAAATGAAAAAACATACAATAAGTAAATATATCGAATATAGCAATAACTGTTAAATGTTTCATTTTAAACAATTTATTATTTGTTCCTCATTATTACATTTGAATTGAGATAGACATTATTTAAATTTGTTAAGAATTTTTGAATAAAAACAAACAAATATTTTATTTAATTATTAAAATAATAATAAAAATATAAGAAGTGTATCACGTTATCGAGTTTCCTAGTAAAACAGAGGCTTGCGATTGGTCGTTAATTGAAATAATAAAATTCAACCAATCACATTTGTTCGAAACTTAAGTGAAATAAATTTCGGTATGTCGTCGAATATACGAACTATTGTTTGATTTTAAGAACAAAAATGTATAAACAGTACAAGCTAGTCGATTCGCATCAAGTACTGTGATATATCTAAGGCATCAATGGCTTGGATTTGTTGTGCATGTTCTTTGTAATAATTTTGAGGATAAAGGATTCAGAGTTTAGATTCTTGATAAAGATTTTTTTCACATTGCTACATATATACTACGTCATAATGGCTGAAAGCCGTGAGGTGATTTTAGCTGATTTTCAGGTAATCTATTTTCAACAAAATAAATATATTAAAGTTTAAGATGTAGTAAAAAATTATTATGATTTAAGGTTATGGTTGCATTACTGAATGACATTGGCAATAGTTGAATGTAAAGACATTTCGAACAAAGACTTTTTTTTTTTATATGTTATTTATATTTTATTTAAACTACATTGGTAATAATAATAATGATATTAATAATAATTAATCATTGCCAATTTTTCTCCATTAATTGGTCTTTTTTTTTGTTTCGTTATTGTGAATATAATTTGTAATTAATTAATATTTTTTTTTGTAATAAGCAGTGTTGCTTTTTGTTTCTAGAAAAATCAGATTCAATTTTTTTCTATTTTATATAAGAATTAAATAAAGTTATAAATTAAATCATAATTTTGTTAATTTAATTTTTTGCTACAACTTTAATTACATTTTTTTTGTATAGGCTTGTACAGGAATTGATGATGTTGGTGAAGCAATTCTATATTTGGAAGAAACAAACTGGGATTTATTGGTAAATATACATAGAAAATTCTCATGATTGAATGCGTTATTATTAAGATATAATTATAATCATATGCAAATATATATTTTGATAATGCAGGCAGCGGTAAATCAAGCAATGCCACGGGGTACTCAACAACTTCCATTTGATATGGGTCCTGAAGTAGAAATGATAGAAGAAATAGGAAGTATACCACATTCGTCTATAATAACACAAACAAGTTCTATCAAAAATGCTGATTCTGCTAAACCAGAAATAATAGAAGATGTTAAACCTGGAACGAGTCAATCAAAAGTTGCTAAAATGCTTACATTCCGTATTAATTATTTAAGGAAGATATATAAAATAGATATATCTGAATTATCTACTGTAGGTAAGTGTTTAATAATAAAAAAAAAGACCTTTTTTCTTCTTTTTTATTTTGTTTTTAAAAACCTATTTTAATATGTCATATTAACACGTGATATAAAATTTTAAATGATATTGGTAATATCTAAGAGATAAAAATAAATATTAGGTGATCTTAAGCAATCTATATGGGAACAAACAAATGTTACGCCGTGTCAGCAACAGATACGTGGATGGAAGAAGGAACCCCACACGAATGGTATCATTCTTCAAAAGTTAGAATTACCAATAGAAAATACGTTGTATCTGACATCTTTATCGAAAAACTGGGATTTAGCGGACGAAATGTATGTAGTTATAAATTATTTATTTATATATATATACATAAATCAATTTTTCTTTATCGTACTTATTGAAAAATGTTTATTATGTTTTGAAGTGTATGTTTGTCGGATCGTATCACATTAACTTATACTCTAAACATCAAAGATGAAATACACAATAAATCATACAAATTAAAATTTCCTGGAACACATACAATATTGGATGTCAAAACAAGTGTATATTCATTGATTGACGTGCCCGTTCGACATCAACAATGGAAAGGCTGGCCCACATCATTGAAAGATGATAATGTAATGTTGGCGCAAAGTGGCATAATTTATCCAGAACATGATTTATCAGTTAGTAAGCTTCCTTCTAAAGAAGAGAAAAAGGTACTTTTCAAATTATTCATATTTCATATTATATTTTTTTTATATTATTCTACAATAGAGTATTTGCAATTATAAGATGCATTATACAATTGTAATTATTAATGAAAGAAATTATAGATTTAAGCTCGTTAAATTGAATAATTAAATTTAATATAATTTAAAGAAATATAACATACAAATTAAAGATTAAACTGTAAAGTGGATAATGGAATATAAATTATTCAAATTATTCAAATTATTGATTTAGCAAACTTTCTTTTCTTTATTTTTCTTTATTTCTAAGTTTTTAGAATGAGCAACAAAAAGTTTTGGATTAAAATAATATATTTCATGATTTTAGGATGTTGTAGAATTAATTGACAGTGATAGTTCTATAGATGAACCGGAAGACGTAGAAGAATTTGATGTTCCTGAATCATTTAATGTTGAGGATGATATTTTTATAGATAATATCACGTCTACCAAGATACAACGTCTTAGTAAGTATATTAAAAGAAATTAATTAATGAAAAAATATAATATTATTCATTTAACATATTGTTGCTTTAATCTTCTATTTAAATTTTTTATTTGGCAGTGCCGGAAAATGTAGAAGATGAAATAGTGGGTACGTTACACTTTGCAGAACAATACGAAAAGCGGTATGGTCGTAATCATCCAGAATTTTTTACTGGCACATTCGAAGACGCTATAAAAGAGTCATGTTTAAAGCCTGCGAAGGAGGTTTGTTTAATACATAAATATTTTAATATTAATTTCAACATTACAAATTTTAAATAACCATTAGAAAATAAAATCAATGTTAATTGTGTTTTAGAGGAAATTATTAGCCGTATATTTACATCACGATAACAGTGTCCTAGCAAATGTATTTTGCACAGAATTACTAGGCTTTGAAACGGTGCTTCAATTACTTTCTGCAAATTTTATTGTTTGGGGTTGGGATATCACGTATGAATCTAACAAACAAAAGTATATATAAATAATATTCTCTATCTGTTGCGTACATTTAATCCCAATGAGATTATTTTTATTAAATATTACATTTTGATTCATAGATTTTTGACATCAGTTAATCAAACACTTGGATCTGTTGCTGCATTAACTGTTAGAAATATTGACGTTGACACTTTACCAGCTCTTATGATAATAATGAGATCTAGGTCGAATACTGAAATATTTACCATTGTACATGGTAATGTGGGAGTTAATGAATTACTTACTAATTTAATTCAAGCAGTTGATGTTTTTCAGGTAAATATTAGTTATCTACTTGTATCTAAATGATCGTATAACAAAAGAAAATTTCTAAATAGAAATATTAATATATTATTGGGTATATAGGAACAAAGGCGTACAGATATTGGAGTAGAAGAAGAAAGACAAGCTAGAGAAAAAGTCAAACAAGAACAGGATAAAGCTTATCAAGAGAGTTTGGCTGCGGATAGGTAAATAGAATAATTAATCGTATTCATTTCTTCAAATGTACTTTTTATTTATATATATTTTCATAGAGCAAAAGAAGAAGCTAAACAAATGCAAGAAGAAATTGAAAAAAGACGAAAGGAACAAGCAGAAAATGAGAGGCTAGCTGTAGAAGCAAGGAAGGAAGCTCATAGACAGGCAATAGAATCTAGTTTACCTCCCGAACCTCAACAAAGTACAGGCGATGGTGTTCTTAAAGTAAGAGTACGACTTCCAGCTGGCAAATTTCTTGAACGTAGATTTCAGCCAGACACGCCACTTCAAACACTCCTTAATTTTTTAATCGTCGAAGGTTATCCCACGGAAGAATATAAAGTTCTTTCTAGTTGGCCCCGAAGGGATGTAAGTAGATCATGTAAGCAATTTAAGTTCTTATCTTATAGTTACCTTTTTTTTTACTGATTGATTAATCTCCAAAGTGTGTTGGGTTTTAATATCATCTCCCGTGTATATTAATTCTTTTTTTTTTTGCTTTTTTTTTTTTTAATAATAATGTTTGGCATAAGCATTTAATCGTATTACAAGAATTACAAACCTAATATTGTCAATTACAGTTAACATCAATGGATTCTAAAATGACATTAATGGAACTAAAGTTCTGTCCACAAGAAACAGTAATATTAGAGGAACGATAAATTATTTGTTATAATTAAATTAAAAGTGTAGATGTTAAACATCAAAAAAATATTCTTAAATTGTATTTATTTAAATTTTTTTTTTTTTTTTCTATATAGACAAATATTAACAGGTGTAATTTGATTTTGTAAAAACTCATTATTATTCTTTCATACATGTGCATTGTATGTTTTAACTATCCACTAAATAATAAATTACATTTTGAACAATTCTCGAAAATTTCATTCTTATTATTATTATTAAAAAATAAGTCGAAAAATGAAGTATAATAATACAAATTTGTTAGTCTTGCATATATTTTAATTACAAGTACAAAGATGCAGCAAAAACAATGTCTCTTTTCATGAGTTTAATTGCTTCGCTAAATTTATTTTCTAAATCTGTATTACCAATATTTTTAGCAGCTTGACATAATTGTCTAAGAACTTCTTCTAAACGTCGCATACATCTTATTATCGATCCTACAATATATGAACGATTATAATTTATTATCGATCTTTTAACGATAATAAAAAAATATATACAGTGGGGGTAATCGATTAACGAACATAATGTATTTAAAGACAATATTGCTAGCCAAGTTGTTTCTTAATTGATTACTCACTGTATATATATAATTTTATTGATTATCATCCATACCTTCAAATATATCTGTCATTTTGCATATCTGTAAGAAACTTGCACCCTTACACCAAGCATAAACAACATCCATCAGGTATGGTTTAAATCCTTCGACATACGCATCTTCGTCTAATTCCAAATTAGCTTCAGTTGAAACTTTAGCTATCCTTCGTGCTAAGTCTTGCATTTGTCTAAGTGGTCCACTTAATTCTTCCGTACTTCTAGGCATCTCATTAGATTTATCATCACACACAAAACAACTGATTAATGCTACCATTTGTGGTATACTTAATGCATTAAATAAACCATTAAAAATCATTTCGGTCATTAGCAATTCATCGGCACCGTTTAATTCACAAGCAACCCTGCCTTTTAATTCTATTACATCAGCCGCTGTACAATAGCCCATTCTTCGAAGTACACGTTTTCTACACTTCAACTCGTCCATTTGTAGTATCGATTTAGCCTGTTTTAATTCTGTTTTAGCTCGTTTTAATTGTTTACCTAATTCTTCTTTATGTAAAAATTGTTCATACAATGTACACACATTAGAATCCTGTATTACAAAAATGAAGTTAAAGAAATTTAATACAAATGTTGAGTTAATTCGATATTCATTATTAATAAAATTTATAAAAATATCAACACTTACATTAATAGTATATTCATATTTTGGGGGGAGAAAAGAAGAAAAAGATATTAAATGATTTAATTTTACCTTGTGCAAAGGATGTTCATATAGTCTTTTTTCCAGAATTTCAATTCTTTTAACAATGTCTTTAAAACTCTGATCCTCAATGTGCATATCAGCTATGGGATGCAATAATGGTGGTCCATCCGGGAATCGTTTTTTCACTTCGTCAATAGTTCTCAGTACGCTTTTTCTATTTGCATTGGGCCTTAAATCATTTGGATGATATAACCTAAGGGAACTGATTTGAGTAATTAACGTATGTAAAACAGGAACAACTTCCATATCACCTTCCTCTTCATCTTGACAAGGCATTGGACATCCTTCACTTGATTTTTTAGATACATGAAGTAAAATATCAACGATCAAGGTGGTATTTTCTTTTACTGGATTTTTAGGAATCTTTTTACTGAAATTTACTACAATACCCCAATCAAATGTTTCTTTTCCATTTTTCACCTAAAATTAATAATAATTTAAGATATTTACAAATGATTTTACATTCTATTAAAAGACGTACTTTTACCAATCTACCAGGTTGCAAAAATGGAAGTAAATACTCAGGTTTTGTTATAAATGATCTAAATTCAGTATTTAATCGGTCTAATTGCTCGCGAATATCATGATACGACGATATCTCATCATAATTTTCGATATTTATTTCATTGTAAGTGGTTTCTAGCTTTTTTACATCTGCAAAAATTGTAATAAAATAAATAAAGTATATATTATGTTTAATGCTAAATATATAATGATACTTTATGTAAAATACAAACGAATACATACTGTTGTACAAATATGGTATACACGCTTGATTTTGAAATTGATAAAAACTTCTCTCTAACATATATTCCGGATTAATTTCTTCTACTCTTAGAAGATTAAGTACCATGTTATATGTTAAATGAAAAGCAGAATTAATTGGATCAGCTTTTCCTTGTACGATTTCTTTACCAACAGCCGGACTAACTTGTTCGTCGATCATTAAAATAACTATTCCTTTCTCATCCAAGCCTCGTCTTCCAGCACGTCCGGACATCTGTATATATTCACCTGACGTTATCCAACGGAAATTTTTTCCATCAAATTTACGAGGCGCTGTAAACAAGACCGTTCTCGCAGGCATGTTTAATCCCATTGCAAAAGTTTCCGTAGCAAATAATGCTTTGATTAATCCTTCGCCGAATAAAATTTCCACGGTTTCTTTTAAAATGGGCAAAAGACCGCCATGGTGAATACCAATGCCACGTTTTAAAAGAGGAAGTACATTTTCAACTTGCGGTAATCTTCTATCTTCTTCGCTTAATACGTCCATAGCATTGTTAAAAACTTCATCAACCAATTTTTTTTCATCCATTGTATTTAAATCTAATTGCGCCATTTGCATGGCATACACTTCACAATCTTTTTTAGAAAAACTGAAGATTATAACTGGAGCGAAATTTCTTTCCATAATCATCTTGACCATTTTAAAGATATTTGTTTGACCATCGTTGGTAACTCGAAGACCACCTTTACGACCTTTCGTATCGCCTTTAGCCGAATCTCCGTGCTGAAGACACGCCATGGCTCTATTGAAATTTTCCTCTTTAAATTGTCCGTTTTCATCTACAACCTATTGTTATATACAAAAAACGAAGTTATAACATATTTTATATGCGTTTTACTTTATTACTAGCAATAAACATAAAGTCTACGTACCAAATGAATACCATCTCCACCAACTGGAAATATATAATGTTGTAACGGCGTTGGTCGATAATCCGTATAAACAACATGACAAGGTTGTTTATGTAAATGAGCAACCCATTCAACGAATTGACGTGCATTCGGTATAGTAGCAGAGAGGAATACATAATGTACATTATCAGGTAAAAGAATTAAAGTTTCTTCCCAAACTACACCTCTTTCCTTATCGCGCATATAATGAATTTCATCGAATATTACCCAACCAACTTCTCGCATAACCTAAAGATAATAGTTTGATGTTAAAATTAGTATAATATATATTATACAATAAGGATGATTAATTCAGTTAAACCTCAGAACCCCTATAAAGCATATTTCTTAAAATTTCTGTGGTCATAATAAGAACACTAGCTGTTGGATTAATTGTAACATCTCCTGTTACTAGTCCTACGTCCTTAAATTCTTCATAAAATTCTCTGTATTTTTGATTACTCAAAGCTTTTATGGGAGTCGTGTATATAACTCTTTGTTTGTTCTTTAAAGAACAGGCTATGGCATATCTATTAAAGGAAATTATCTGTAGTAATTATGTAGTTAATTGGCAAAACATATTAGAAAAATAAAAATTTATATATATATAAATATGCATACTCAGCAACAACAGTTTTTCCTGCTGATGTATGAGCAGAAACAAGAACGGATTGATTATTTTCTATGCACAGTATTGCTTCCTTTTGAAATGGATCCAAAACAAATTTATATTCCTTAGCTGGTTTTGTTTGTTTAGTTTCTAATTTTGTATATTCATGATCAGGTGGTACAGCTACTTCATGAGTACATGATTCTATTGCTTCCATGGTATAAATTTTTATACGTGACGACAATTCATCAATGCTATATTAAATAATATAAATTAATAAGAGTTTCTCTCTCTTTTTAAAGCTTAAAGCTTTTAAGTAAATATATAAAAAGGAAGAAAAAAAGAAAATATATAAAACCGTTTACATACTTGATATCGTCTAAGATAGAATCAGTTTTTAATCTTTTCACCACTTGCTGCTCCTCATGGTCATTTTCAAGATCACATTTTGATTTTTTATCAATATTAATATTCCTATTTAGAAAAATTTTCAAATGAATATTAAGTTAAATGTAAAATTATAGGCTCTAGTCAGAAAATTGTTTATACTCTTACTTTGAGTATGATGATTTTTGATCATCATCTTTCGTTGATTTGGGTATTATTTCAACGATATCATTAGGCTCTTCAAAAACATCAAATAAATCAGTGGTAAATTCCGCCATTGATAATGATTTTGATATTTCTTTAGCATAAATATGTAAAGAATAAAAAAAAATAAATATCGAATACCACACGTGTGATGCATAAACATGAACGTATAGGACCGATTAATGAGTTTAGAAAATCATAACTAGTGTGCTGCCAACTTTACCGTATTATAGGATCCCTAACATTAGTCCTTAATAGTAATAATGCAACGATCAACAAATGCCATCTATCGATATCATTACGAGTGATAATCGACTTACGACTGTTGGCAACATGTCTTAGAATTTACGTTTAGATAGGTGCAACGCGCAAAAATAATGGAATATAATAGTTGAGTGTAGTAAAAAGTGTAAAGTAGCAAGGAAAATTAAATGAAGTGCAATATTACCTAAAATCTCGTGACGCATCTCTTTCCCGCAAAGTATTTTTTGTTATATATATATATATATATATGTTTAGTTTCACTTTACAGAATTATAGATTGTTGATTGGTTCATCTTTGAACATATACAAGACAATAGACTAATCAGTATCCAGTACAATTTGGGACAAACTCTATAAATCCATCAGTTTGAATTTTAAGGCGAGTTCACGTAGAAATATGATATATATATATATACATATATATAATCTATATACTAACCTTACCAACTGAGAATAACTCGGTAATTTCCCGAATCGATATTTCGTAGAAACCAATTCTATGTTGAGATATTGCGCAGTCTTATATGTCCAACACGCCATATTGGATGTGAAGTTACTTTGAGTAAACGTTAATATACTTTGTAATTTGAAACATATTGGTTTAATTAAATAATATAAAGTAAGTTTAATATTCCATATCAATAATGGGTAAGAAGAAAGGTACGTAATTTTTCATTAATTTCATATTTAGTTTCATTATTTTTAATCGGATATTTAGTTTCATATAAATATTTTTTAGAAGATTATTCAATTTGAATTATTTTGTAGGGAAAAAGATTTTAAAACAAGATCCAGATATTGTTGGATTATCTAATACTTCACGACAGGAACAAGAACCAAAATCCTTACCGAAGCAACGAGCTTCATCACAAGGTCCATTGAGGTCACAAGCCTCATCAACATCACATGCTCCATCGACTTCACATGCCCCATCGACTTCACATGCCCCATCGACTTCACATGCCCCATCGACGTCATATGCCCCATCGACATCACAAGCCCCAGTGACATCACAAGCCCCAGTGACAATACCAACATCAACGTTACAAGGCGCATGGTTGATGCGAGCATCAAAATTACAAGCTTCATCGACGTTAGAAGCCACACCAAAGCCGCAACCATCATCGATGCCACAACCTTTATCGATGCCACAACCTTCATCGATGCCACAACCTTCATCGATGCCCCAAGCCTCATCTAAGCCACATGAGGAATTGCCTATTCAATGGGGTCAAGGTCGAGGTCGAGGTCGAGGTAGAGGTCGAGGTCGAGATCGAGGTCAAAGTCAAAGTCAAAGTCAGGATCGAGGGTTTAATCAAAATCAAGGTGAAGTTAAAAAAGTAGCATGGGGTAGAAATATACAGCAACAACAGCAGCAACAACAACAACAACAACAACAACAACTTCCAATGGTATATTCCTTTAATATTTTATTAATCCTTCTATCCCCCCAAGGAGGAAGTATATTATACGTAATAGTGTAGATAATATTAAATTTACATTATTTTTGTTACACAAAAATATATAAATATTTTTTAGGCTAGAGACCCAGAGGTGGATTCGCCTTCATCATCAAGAGATTATAAGTCATTTTCATCAATAAAAAAACCACTACAATCATTATCATCACCATCAACACTGTCATCACCGTCATCATCATCATTACCTTCATTGACACCACCATCAATATCATCAACACCAATGAAAGAACCATTGAAACTACCATCAACACCAATGAAAGAACCATTGAAACTACCATCAACANCATCAACACCAATGAAAGAACCATTGAAACTACCATCAACACCAATGAAAGAACCATTGAAACTACCATCAACATCATCAACACTAATGAAAGAACCATTGAAATCACCGTCACCAATGTCACACTCTCAATTGCAAGAAAAATCAGCACAGTCTGTAACTGGTAAACTAGCTTATAATTTACCTAAAAGAAAGCAGGAAATATGTGGAACTCTTGGCAGATCTATAATGGTTGAAGTCAATGTGATGTCATTCGAGTTCCGGAAATTTGAAACAAATATTACTCAATACGATGTAAATATTAACCCTGACAAGCCCAAATCTTTCATGAGACGTGTTTTCGAACAATTCAGACAAACACATTTCCCGTTTCGATATCCTGCATTTGATGGGAATAAGATTGCTTATAGTGCACATGATTTGCCTTTTGGAGAACAAGTAAGTATATAAAATGAAATGTAAAAAATGATTAAATCAATCCTCTACAAATATTTTTGTTTAATTTAGATAAACGGAACTGTTGAAATTGAAGATAATGGCAGGAATAGAGCATTTACAATTGAAATATCAAAGACTGCAAATCTAGATCTTTCATTCTTAAAAAGAGTTAGACCTGGTTTTGGTGATTCATTGAACGTTCAAGCCGGAATACAAGCGCTTGATGTCATCTTACGCCATGGACCTTTGACATATAACTTTCCAGTAGGCAAAACAAATATTTTTTTTGATCTTATGTATTTTATAGAATTGGGAATACTTCCCAATTCTTTGAAACATTACACGTGAGCCTTACTGGTTCTGATATATGTAGCTTATTCATTTGTCTTTCTCCAAGTGTTCTTTTTTATTATTTATTAATACATTTTTCTTTTTTTCTGAACGATCTTATTTTACCAAATTTTTCCGTTACTTTATCGACTGTGCATATGTTGTTCTTTCTTAGAGCATATGTTAATAATGTAAATCCCATCACATTATGTATTTTTCATTTTCTTCTTTTCTATTATCTCTTCAAAATAGATTATTGTTCTTACAATTCGTACGTATTTTAACAGGTTGGAAGATCAATATTTTGGAAACCAAGGGCCAGAACAGATTATTTGACGGAAGGCATGGAATTATGGACAGGTCAATTTCAATCTGCTATTCTAGGATGGAAACCTCTTTTGAATGTAGATGGTAAAGTATAATATATATTAGTTTTTTGTTGAAAAAGATTTTCAAAATTAGTATACATAACAAATGTTTTATGTGATTATTTAGTTGCACATAAGGGATTCCCAATTTCTCAAAACGTCATTAATGCGATAAAGGAATTTTGTCAAGTCAGAGGTGGAAATATTTCTTCAATGGATATAAAACGCAACCAAATCCAAATAAATAAATTCTTAACTGGATTAAAAGTTCATTATGAGATACCAAATGTGCCGACATCTAAGAGAACACATATTTCACGTGGTTTAATAAACGAATCTCCGAGGACTTGTAAATTTAAACGTTCTGATGGAGTTGTTTGTACCGTCGAGAATTATTTCAAATATGAAAAGAGATATATTGTACAATATCCTGATTGGCCTTGCTTATGGATAGGTTCAACAGATAAAAAGATATATGTACCTCCAGAGGTATATTTAATGTCTTTTATTAATATATAAGTTTGTTTAAAAAGTAATTTCATTTATCGCACAGTGATTCCATTAGTCATGTTTACAGATACCTAATCTTGCTCTAAACCTTAAAATCACTTGACATTTTAGAAAAAAACACCTCCAAAAAAATGTTTTGGATTATAAATATGACAAACTTGTCTCTTATTTTCCTTTGAAAAAATGAAATTACGTTTGAACGACCTAACAGAAACAATATATTCATTATTAAATTTAAAGACAAATAATATTAAATGAAATTAAGAATGAAACAATCATATGTTTTAAAATTTTTTAGCTCTGTGTTATATTGCCTGGACAAGTAAGCAGAAAAAAATTATCTGATAGACAAACGGCCGAAATGATAAAAAAAGCGGCCAGTAATACTGAAGTCCGCAAAAGAAAGATAATGGATGGTGTAAGTATTTTATTTGCATATGTGTTATATATACAAATATATTTATATATATATTAAATATATGTATCTTATTTTATAACATAATAATAATTGCAGTTTGAAGCTTTGGAAATGAATGATCATCCAACTCTAAGAAACGAGTTCAAGCTTTCAATAAACCCACAATTTGAAAAGGTACCAGCTAGAGTATTACCTCCTCCTCAATTGTTGTATAATAAAACTGTTACTACACATGTGAGTAAGGGAATTTGGAGGGCTACCAAAATGTATACAGCAATACAATTACACAGTGATCAATGGGCAGTTTTAAATTTACATGCAAGGTCTATAATATACGCTGACATTAATAACTTTATTCAAGAGTTGATGACCATTTGTAAGTACATATCAATATTTATAGTTATTTAACAATCTTAACACTTTGAAAGTGTTGATTAAATGTAAGAGTATTAAATGAAAATGAAATTCTGCAATAATTTTGTTTTCTTTTGTAAATTAGACTTTATGCAAGTTTTCGTATCGTCCGTTTAATCAATTTTTCTTTATTTATCACTTCTTTCTTTGCCATAAAAAAAAACATGTTTTAATATTATATTTTCTATTTCAGCAAAAGCGCATGGCTTGGACATAAAGAAGACTAATAATATTAAAGATATTCATTATGATAATGAACGGGACATTATAGAATATTTTCAAAATTTAAGCGCAGCTGATATAAAACTTGTTATAGTTATTATACCAGACTTTAATGACGTATATTGTAAAGAATTTATTTAATTTACAAAAAATTATTCATTCGTTCGATTTATTAAAAGATATTTTATAATTGTATATTATTTATCTTAAAGGTAAGGTGAAGCAAATTACGGAATTAAAAACAAATGTACTCACACAATGTCTTAAATCTGGAACTGTTAAGTATAAATGTAATAGCGCAACCATATCAAACATCGTTTTGAAAATTAATTCTAAACTTAATGGTACAAATCATATTATTGCGAGGCACCGCAGGTATAGCATTTTATATTAATAATAAAATTATACTTCTCGTATATTTTCTAGAGTATATATTATAATATATTGTGTTCGGGATTGTATCTATAACCATTTTTCTTTATGCAGCCCTAATGTTTTGGACGGTAATACTATTGTGATTGGTGCCGATGTAACACATCCATCTCCAGATGCTATAAACATACCTTCTATAGCCGCAGTAAATATTACTTATATAAATCTCTTTAAAATTTTAGTAAAAATATTTTATTACACGTAATACATTTTATTATAATAAAGGTTACAGCAAGTTGTGATACAGAAGGTTTTAAATATTCAATTGAAGTTCGCTTGCAACCACCAAGACAGGAAATGATTACTGATCTTGCGGATATTCTCAAAAAATTATTAAAGAATTTTTATGATACTACAAAACAGAAACCATTAAAAATTATCGTTTATCGGTACGTAAGTTTATTAAAAAATAATATTGACTTAATATAGAATTTATCAAATTAATTTATTAAACTTTATCTAACTCGTTATAGTGTTATATTAAGAAACGTTTTCATTTATTAATTGTATATAGCGATGGTGTAAGTGATGGACAGATTGCTCATGTGTTGGAAATTGAATTACCAGCTTTTCAAAAAGCATTTAAATTAGTCTTTCCCCAAGAAAAGTGTGGACCAAAAATTACTTTTCTTGTGGTACAAAAAAGACATCATATACGATTTTTTCCTACGTCGCGATCAGAATCAGATGATAGAAATGTTAACGTTAGGGCTGGTACAATTGTGGACACACATATTACACATCCCACTGATATTGATTTTTATCTCGTATCTCATGCAAGCATTCAGGTAAATTATCCAATACAATATAAATCTCTAATGCGATTCTTCTTTTACATAAGTATTATATATTATTTTATATATAAGGGGACTGCACGACCTACCAAATATAAGTGCGTATACAATGAAATAGATATGACTGAGAATCAAATAGAAGAACTTACATATCATTTATGTCATATGTTTGCACGTTGTACAAGAGCGGTTAGTTATCCGGCACCAACATATTATGCCCATTTAGCAGCATTTCGCGCTAGGGCCCTTATACAAAAGTAAGTAATATAATGATATATAATAAAACTTATTTTTTTTAAAAATGATTCAATGCTTAATTTGATTTTGTAGCGTTCACATTCAATTAGAGCAATTGCCGCGCGAGCAAAGGAAAATAGAAATATTAATAAAAAGTAAAGCTCCGATGTTTTTCGTTTAGTTTATATCAGTATCTAAAGAGGGTAAGAGAGAATTATTTTGCTTATTACTGCAAATTCTAATGGTGTGGGAATTATTATTTCTCAATAATATTATATCTTTTTTTATATTATATTATAACTTTCATTGAAATATATAGTCGACTATTTTACCAAATAAGGATAAAATTTAAAGCATATATATATATATATATGTATATATATATATATATATATAACAAAAAAAATATATATAAAAAAAAAAAATAAATAAATAAATAAATTAAAGCATATATAATATTAACACATTTTGTGCGGATCACAGCGCGTGACCTTTTTTTTTTTCTTTTTGATACACTTAGAATATAGAAATTTGTTGAAGTTTAAAGGAAAATGCGCAATTTTCAGAATGAAACGTAATTTATTTTTAAATAAATTTTTTATTGAATTTGATGATTAAATCGTGTCTTATGCAAAAGATATTAATAACTTTCTTGCACATAATGTGTTAAAATAAAACTATATCTTATGAAAATATATTATATCTTGTTAATTGTAATATGTACCCTTATGAATTAAAAATTAGTTATGTAACACGGGTTATAAATGTGTTATTCATATTATTAAAAACAAAACAACAAAAATATATCCCAATTCTTCAATTATATTATTAACACATAAGGTCATATTTTTATTAATTTTATCTACGACAATAATATTTAAATTTCAAAAAAAATTAAAAACCTTTGATAAATAATATCTAATTTCTATATGTTATTACAACATTTGTAGATATGCCAAAATTCGCGGTACTTAGTTACATCAACGATAAATTGTTTTCTGTTACGCGCATGCGCGTGTTGTATGCGTTTAAAGGAGATTACGTATGCAGATAACCTCCTTAAAATTAAAAATATATAACAGTGAAAAAAGAAGATTTTGTACATTGTGATCTTGCTTGGCGTTATGGTTTATCAACACTGTTTATCTTCTTAATGCATAGGTAAATATATCTTAATTTTGTTGTTTTTCTTTTTTATTAAATAAATGATTGGCTTCTTTCTTTTCTTTTTTTTTTTCTAAATTAATCCATTTGCAAATCAAATTTTTCTAAAAATTTATTTTCTCAAGCCATTGTAATAAAAATAAAATCCGGTGTAAAGTCATTGTTTCGAAACTGTATACAGCAATAATAATTATGGCAATCTGTAGAATTGATTAATTTTAACTGAATGATTAATAACATCCATTGAGAATGTTTGTGATTTTAAGGATCAGCCAAAATATTTCTTATAGTAGAGAATTCAATTTTTATAAGAAAAACTCCTTCAATATAGGATACTTTGAAAAGTATTATTTGTGTGGTAGTAATAAAGCATGTTTTGTTTGAAGTAACAGGATCATACACTTTTTTTTGGAGTTATGTAGATGCTTGCAACGTAATTCCTGAATATTATTTTCATTCGATTTTTATCCATATTACTTTTGAACAAAATCTTCCAAAAAATATTTGCGATTATAATCATGCTACGATATTATTTAGATATTTATTACCCTTATTGGCGCGGTGAATTTGATTCGCAAAGGGGAGTGCTCATTTGGGGTGTTTAAAAAAAAAAAAAAGCCTCTCCGATGGTAAAATTCATTTCAAATTATTTAGATACTGCGCAATAGGGGCAGGGGGGGGGAATCGTCAATGTTTCTGATCTAGTGTTAGTGTATATATAAGAAGGATTTCAAGGGGTGAAAGAGGGAGAGGGGAGGGGGGTTATTATTACTTCATTCATGGAACTCGCCGATTCAATGGTATTTCAAGGACGTGTAGGGTGACCCGTTAGTCCCTTCCTGTGGGAAAAGGTTTAAACTTGGTCATACCTTCACCCCCCCCCCTTTATACTTTCTTACACACATGAACAATAACAATGGATGGAAAGATGGTATTTATTTTTCTTTTTTTTTTGTTATACGTAATATACATGCATAACATAAAGAATTTCTTTGTTTCTTGATTTTGATTCAATCAATTTTATTTTATCCCCTAGGATAATGCGTAGAAACATTTCTTGAAGCGTATTATTAAAACTTATAAACGAATCGCGAGGATAAAATAATGAAAAATTTAACGATTTCAAGATATCCAAAAAAAAAAAAAATAAATAAAAAATAAACCTAAAAGATAAAATATGCATTTTATATATATATATATATACTGGTATTATTTATTTAATTACACGTATGTATGTAACGAATCTTCAGCTGTGCCCATCACTCGCACACATTCATCCCGTTGTTTACATTTTCGTATAATAAAAATATATATATATATAATCAACACATACATAATTTATATATATATATATATATATATATATATATATATTCTGAATCGTATTAAAGGATTCAACTGCGACGCAGATAGTGGATAATTATATCGTAAAACTCTCTTTTCAACGTTCCTTCCGTTTCATATTATTTAGGCGAATTTACATAATCGCACTTAACCACCCACCACTAAAGTCCATTTCATTTCATTTAAAACGCTACAACTTAAAAAAATAAAAAAAAAAAAAACGCGATTTGTAAGTTTCACCTGCTGCGTTATAATACTGGTTGTTAATTCCTGTTTGGGTCTCCTTCTCCTAACAGTTTCTACGCCTTATTCGTAGGGGGGTTTTTTTTCACGTGACCGAAGCCTTCTATTGATTCCTTCGTAGAAGAGGGTGCATGCGCACCCTCGTCGATTATCACTTTCATCCCTCTCTCTCTCTCTCTCTCTCTCTCTCTCTCTCTCTACTCGTTCACATATATTAAACACATATGCACCCCCTCTTTCCCCCATCCCTTTCTTTACCCCTTACCCCTTGCCCCATTTGGTTCTCGCAAATACGAAGAGGGGGTTGAAACACGCTAAGGCGCTGACTTTGGTCAGCAGAACGTGCTGGGTGTCCAGTAGAAATCCTCCTAGTGGTGGGAGCTTTTAAAGGGAGAAGGGGGTTGGAAGAAGAATGGAGGGGAAAACGGTGGTTCGTAGTGGAGAAATCCGACAGTGTCACTTCCGTGGTTGTTCCGTACGATACGTTGATTATTATTTATCCAACGTTCTCGTCTAAAACTCTCGTCATGATTAAATCGTCGCTTTGTTAAGGTACAATTTTATATATATATATGTATAGATATAGATATAGATATATATTATAAATATATCATCTGATTTCGCATTACCTAATAATATACTTTTGTCGATTATTTATTTGTTAACTTCATTATTTCTTTTTTTTATAAATCTTCTACGTTCGTTCGTTCGTTCTCCGTCTCCTTCTCCGTTTTCTCATCTTCTTTTCTCTTTCCCTACGTATATCGATCGTGTCTTTTCTATTTGACGTGTGGATGGTGATAACCAGATGATGATATCTGGAATATAAGAGGAAGAATAAAAAGAAGGTACTCGTGAAAGTTAATTAAGTTTAAAAGAATACTTTTCTTTCCGGTTATTATTATTTTATTTTATTTTATTGAAATACGATTGGTAAGAGATCAAAAGAAATGTTATTGATCTAGCGTGGAAAAATTACGTTTGATTTTTAATTTGTAAAATATTATTTTACATGTGAGCTTTTAACATTAATAATATATATTTCCATTGAATTTTTGTTTCTACTTACGTTTCACGTAATTTATTGTGTTCTTTTTTTTTTTTTCTTCAAAACAATTAACGTCCATTAATTTTTAATAAATAACATCGTAATAAATATAATATACCGTTAAATCATATAACGTTAACTTTTAATATGTTACTCTACATTCTACGCGACTAAAAAACTGTTATTCCTTTCTTCGTCGTTATACCTTCTACGCGGGAAATTATCGATCGTTCATTCTCATGGTTGCCGGTATACGCGCGATTATGTTTCCACTCGATGCACACCTATAGATCCTCCCATGATCGTTGTGTTGCATCGGGTCAGCGTTCTCCGATATATGTATATATATATATGCTTACTTACTTATTTTACATACTATTTTTTCCTTCCATTTTATTAACGCATAATACGCATCAACGATTTATTTGTAAATGAAATAATACACTCACCCCCTTCCAGCCCCCAACCTCCTTCTTTCCTCCATCAAAACCCCTCCCTACTTTTCTATATACCACCATTCCACAAACCCTATCCCTGTTCAATTACCTACATTTCATTTAATGCATCGAATAATGTGCATAAATCTAATATGCATTACTTACAAAGTGACATATACATATATCCGAGAAAAAGGTACGTTAATCTATTATAAGATTTATATACAGATACAAAACGTTTAGATCTTTTTTTTTACGTTCTAATCAATTGTAACCCCACGAGGGTGAGGGTGATGGTAGTGGTAGTGGTGGTAGTGGTGGTGGTGGTGGTTGTTGTTTGTAACCATTTACGTGGAAAATTAAATCATTTCTTTTTTTTTCTACATAGTAGAAAGAGTTTTTGTTTTTTTGCAATAGTTGTTGACATTGTTTAAAGAAATTCTGATCGTGAACAACGATTCGTTTTGCATCCCTCCCCGAGAAACTTCTCGAACAGCTTTGCAACGTGCGCGCTTGTTGCTAGGTGGCAGCGACGACTATTCCAGAGAGAAAGAGAGAGAGAGAGAGAGGGTTGATATCGTTAGATTCCAAATGTTAACCACCCTCCTCCTTCCTTTCAATCATTTGCTTGTTTTCTTTTTTTTTATCTTTCTCATTTACATTGAAATACGTAGTAATAACGCGGCAGGGTAACTTTTATTTCAACTTTTTTTCCCTTACGTTTTATTAAACTTTCATTGTTTTATGAAACCAACAACAGAATATAATATATTGTTTGTTTGTTTTTCTCTTTTTTTTTTTTTTCTTTTGGTGCATAATATTTAATGATATAGTTCAAGTTTTATGTTGTAACTCCCCTTCTGCACCCGATCAATCGAGATCAAGTCTCCAATTGATTGAAAAATTTGTCAAAGTCAAACGAAAAGTTACATATTCAAAAGAAATTCAATATAATTAATATAATTATATCGGATTCTCGATAATTATTTGCTAATGAATAAATCGATAATTGAAAACAATAAAAAAAAGATAGAAGTTAACGTGGAATAAATGTATACTTGTATTATTAGTTTTTTGTTTTTTTTTATATAAAATTCGTGGACAAAATTTATTAGATTTTAGATTATCATCGTAATGGGAAGGGGGAGAAAAAAAGCTCTGTAATTTTCGTTCGTTACTCGAATCGATTAACTTTGTTATTTTTGTTTTGTTATTTTGTTCTTTTTTAAAGTACACACGAAATATTTTTCTCGTGATTTGTCTTCATTTTAATAAGTACGAGTTGTTGACGCACGTAAGACTCTATACGAGAGGCTAACGATCGAACTTTTCCCAAAATAACATTGAATGCAACGGTAAGGATCTATTTTTGAGATGTTATAAACGTAGGAAACACATCACTGTTATCTTCAACGTATAGTTGCCGTGATTTCCAAATTTAAATCAAACTTACACACGAATATACTTATTACGCATGCATGTATATATAAAACCATAGAAGAAGTTTACCAATTTAAAGGGGAATAAAAAAAAAGAAAAAATTACACTCGAATATATATTTTGCAAAATTTCAACGAGTTATACAATTTTAATACGATATCGAATTTATTTAACTCGAAGAATTCTTATCTCTGATTAAACAATCATCCCTCTCCCCACCCCACACAAACCTTCCCCTTTTCGTCCCCTACATCGTTAATGAACAAAGTTTAATGAGTTTACAAAATGTACGAGATACACTTGGATTATCTTTTGATATTGTTTTACTAATATTTAAAAAAGAAAAAAAAAAAAAAGAGAAAACTTTTCGAAAGGTTTAATAAATATTAAATACTCGATAAATATTTGTGTAAACATTTATCGATAATTATTTGGTCAAATGAATGATAAGTTTATGCGAATATTATTTAATTGTACGATGAGAATAATAAAGATAATATATTGCATAAGGATTATAAATTAGAATTACATATATTAAAATGAATATTAATATTTCAATATAAATAGTAATAAATCATTTTTTCTATTAACAATATTATAATATTATATTATTTGCATTCTAATCGTGAATTAATAATTAATCGGTTTATAATATATTGTCATTAATATACAATGTGTCGTATTTTTTATTTTAAGTATCAATTAACAACAAAAACACATTTGTTAAAAATATTGAACACCCCCTCCCTCCCGTTCCCCAATAAATAACAATTAATATTAAAATAATAAATATGATAAATATATTATTGTGATATTACATTTATCGGGGGATGAATGAAATGAAACGAATCAAAACGAAAGGAATGAATGAATAAATGCTAATAAATATTCTTCTACTTTTTTTTAGGGTGGAATCGTAGTAAAGGTCGAAGAAAAAAGGGCCTGGACCATGTCAGGGCGAGGGGCGGAGTGGTGACCTAAAACTCATCCCTCTGCGTCGAGACCATCGATGCTTACGCTACGGCTGGTGTCGACTCATTTCTTGAAGCAGCCATAGGCAGTGCCCTTTGCCTAAGAGAAAGGGCTCTAAATGCGATGTGCCGTGATAGAGACATGAACTCAGAGCTAATCGAGTCATACGAACTCTTGTTAACGTCGTCTTCTTGCTTCTACTCTCGTTGAATGTCGCGTCGTAATAATCATAATAATAATAATAATAATAATAAACAAAAAGAAAACGAAACAGAACAGAAATTAAAAAACATTTTTTTAAAAACTACGAAAAATAAAATTTATATATATATATATATATGATAT